TGCGGAGCGTTTGAAGAACTTTTAGTCACCACGTCCTGTAGTTTGTGCCTGCCAAATGTCAGGTGTGTACGACGGACCCCCTAGGAGGAGTTCGATTTAGAAAATGGCCAAAAAGCCATTTTGGCAGTGACGTGTCCAAGTCCCTTAAAATATCAAATTTTTTGCCAGTCCTGATGTGCGTGGCGATTTTGGTGAGTTTTCAAGCATGTTTAGGCCCTCAAAATCACGTTTCAAAAGTCGGTAAAATAATAATAATAATAAATAATAATAATAATAATAATCACAACGGTTACAATAGGGTCCTTGCACTGGTGTGCTCGGATCCTAATTATTATTGCACATACCCAACCACATCAGTGATGCCCTGCCACAAAGTTTTCATCTGGTATGGAATTCCATGTTTGTCACAGAGTGCGCGGACCAGCGGGGCCACCAGGTGGTAGTTGTGGCGCGGCATCGTAGGAAACAAACTGTAGAGGGAAACGAAACAGGAGCTATTGATTAAACATAACAGCAGCCAGTATGTCTCAGTAGTTACATTTTTGGCTACAGGTGTATAAAGGCAAGAACCACAGCGCTCAGCCTCTGTGGAACATTTAAAGCAGCAGACTCTGCGTCAGTTCACACTCACATTTGCCTCATTTTTAATCTTGAAACTCGTTTGTATTAAAACTGAAAAGGAAATAATATGAAATGCAGCTGGTCAGTTACTTTCATTGCAGCTGCTGGATGTTAATAATGCAGTTCACCTAGAAAACACAATTAAGTAATTTCACTTTTTGAAAACGCATCATTGCCGTCCTCAGATGGCTATTTTTAAAACAATAGAATAGGTTCATCTTTTCTCAGTTCACCAAGCAGAAGATGTCAAGCAAAATTCCTTCAAATAAATTACATTGTGTTTTGCTGTCAAATTCACTTGAGGCACAGAAAAATGACTCAGTGTCCAGTTTTTGTTTTGTCTCTCCTCAAGGGCTCTGAGAAACTATTTTCTCACGTCTTTTTTCCACCAGAGATTTTCTATACTGTTCCTGACAATGTCCAGCACCTCGTCTGTAAGGACACAGTTTCAGGTCTGCAAACTACACAACACTGATTCAGGAGTATTAAGAAAAGTTTGAGGCTTAATTTTTGTTGTCTGCGTAGAATACATTTCAATACACGCTGACATGACGCTGCAGGATCGGTGTGTGTGTGTTTTTTTGACAAACTTTCCGTCATCGTTTGACTTACTGGTGCTCGATCTGAAAGTTGAGGTGTCCGCTGAACCAGTCGTTAAAGAGGGACTGGTCAATATTACAGGTGGCCTGTAACTGAAGGAGAGAATGAGACAATAAATCCATCATTTAGCCATTACTGCTTATCCTTTGGAAGGTGGAGGCGGCTGGAGCCTATATCTCACTTAGCATGAATGGTTATCATTAATCAAATGAAAAATAAAACACAGCAAACAGAAAAACCTAATCCACCCAATAGTTGGGATCAGGAGAGATATGGGACGCCTCCCTTATGGTCCAGTGTGATAAACTTCTGTACATAGCTGTCCATCAGCAGCACCTGCAGGCAAATGTGGATATCAGAGCAGTCAGAGTTTTATAAGAAACCAGGCACCTGCATTGTCAGCCAGTCCTGGTGCTTCTCGTGATCAATGTCCATCGGCAGGTGGTTCATCTGAGTCACCCACACAAACCAGTGACTCTCCAAAAACCTGTAACAACACAATAGCATTCACTAAGGAGGGTGTTACACCATGTGACTAAGCCTTCATTAGCTGGCATTACTTCATTTGTTGATGATTAACCTATCAGTAATAAAACCCATAACAAGACAAACACTTGGCTTGCTGTGTTCTGAAAAGCATACATGTATAAACAGCCTCAAATTCAAGAGTGATCCATTTACACAGTACTCTTTACTGAAACGTGCTACCAAAAATGTCTTTGTGTAAATTCTCTTTCAGATCCTTTACCTGACAAAGCTGATGAGCACCAACGAGCCAAACAGACCATACAGGGGAACGTAACAGGAGAAGTAGCGAAGGTAGTAGGACATGGACCAGGCCAGATCCTAAACAAGACAACAAGGTTAGATCATTTCTTTGTTAAGAAAAATCATGATGCACCAAAGCTCATCTCTTATTTTTCACTTGTGTAACATTCTTTGCTGCTCTGTTTTCACTGTAAGGTTTTTCTTCTTCAATACTAAAAAGCTATAAGATGTATTAGCCTGATCCCTCCTGACATACAAAACAAAAAATCTGTACATAAACTGCACTACAATAGACATCGACTGGAATCTTACCACCCAGTCGCGGCGTGAAATCATGGTGTGCATGATCTGAATGTGGAAGTAAACTGGAATGAGCAGCGGTGGTCCCACTAAAAAAAGAAAAAGACTTATTCCTGAAAAGGTTTTTACAGGTTTTATTCTTTTGAAATGACTCGACAGAAACATACCAAGAAAGAAGTACTGGTGTTGGTGATGGTAGGGCAGGTATTTGATCTTTTTTATGCCGTACTGTAACAGAGAAGAACACAAGAGTTAAATGAGGGGCTGGATCACACAAGTGTTCACAGAATTTCAAATACCTGCTCCGCGCTACTCACCTCAACTGGCTGAGTGTCTCCGAGCACGAAGACGTGCAGCATGTTGACGTCAGGGTCTTTGCTGAAGATGTTGGGTTTAGCGTGATGCTGGAAATGTCGGTGATTCCACCAGTTGGCAGAAGCTCCCTGAGAAAGCAATCTTTTAACATCTGTGTAAAAATTCACAGAAAAGACATGCAGAGTCGGAGAAAGGTTACCTTTAAATGACCGACGATGAACTTCTGCAATATGTGGTTCCAGCTGGACTTCTTGAAGACAGACAGGTGGCCGAAGTCATGCTGCAGCCATCCGGCCTGCGACTGGAGAAGAAGAAAAGAGCATTTTGAGATTTGTTTTCGGCAGAATTCGCCCAATTATACCGAGAAACACTGATGTCACCTGAGCAGTTGCCAGCATCACCGAGCAGAGAAACGTCAGTACCCAGCTCGTCCCCCACAGCCAGATGATGAGCCAAGCGAGGGCCTCCAGCAGCAGGATGTGACCCAGGTGGAGGCAGAAGAACAAAGGATCAGCTCGAAACAGACCCTTCTTCTCAATCTGAGCACGTAAAGTGTTGAAATCCTGTATTATTGCTGCCTGGGAGCAAAGAAGAAGAAACAGACACACTCTTGTAAAACTTAGAATACGTTGCACTGATGTGACACTCGTGAAATCAAGAAAAATGTTCTTGTAAGCTTTAGAAACCTTTTACATTTTTGTTACAGGAAACCAAGGCATTAGGGTAGTTTGAGTTATTTAACAGCTGACGAAACATGAGTGTCCAGAATCTCCTGAACGCTGTAAGACTCATGAATAAGAAAGCAGATGTGTGAATAGTCCGACCTACTCCTGTTCCTCAGGTGTTTCTGGACATGATTCACGGTTCCATGTTGTCAGGGTGAGACTTAAGCTCCTTCGTGAATTTATTTTAAGAATCACAGGTGCAGCTTACATTTTTGTTTCGGTCCTGGTTGGGCTCTGTCGCCGCCAGCTCTCCGATCAGCAGAGGCTTCAGAAACTTTTGCACAAACTTTAGCTCAGGATGAAAAGCGGTGAATGCCTCCTGGAAAACAAAAATAAAGAATCCTTTAGATGAACCTAGAATTACCACCATGTAGATGTGTGCCTCCACCAACCTGTAAAGTTCCAGTTTACATCCATGTCTCTCCAGACTTTAATAATATGTATGTGTATAGATGAAGGGAAGATTTTAAAGTGTGTAAGTTCATTGAGAAAGAAAAAAAAGTCAAATTCTTTCCATGTGTTCACGTTTGGCCAAAAAAATAGATTCTACTAGAGCGCAATGTTGTACCCATGACTGTAGACAACCCTTCAATATGCGACAACAACATGGATGCTTCACACTCATGTTTAACCCAGCAGCAATGATGATGCAGTTCCAAGGTGGACACCCAGGATTAGTTTAATCAAGATTAACTTAGTTCAAGATTAATTTAGCATCTGATCAATCATGTGAAGTATGGTCACAACATCTCTTTTTGTTTCTGAGTCATGTCATTGAATAATGGTCAGAAATGTGTTGCTGCAGAACATTATAATATGACAGTCAAGTTGACCTTTGACCTTTGGATATAAAACACCATCACATCATCATTTATGGACTGCAAGGTGGAGCGGTGGTTAGCACTGTTGCCTCGCAGCAAGAAGGTCGCCGGTTCGCGTCCCTGTGAACAACCAGGATCTTTCTGCATGGAGTTTGCATGTTCTCCCCATGCAGCGTGGGTTCTCTCCAGGTTCTCCAGCTTCCTCCCACACAGTCCAAAAAAGGTTAACTGGTGATTCTAAATTGTCCGTAGGTGTGAATGTGAGTGTGCTTGGTTGTCTGTCTCTAAGTGTAGCCCTGTGATAGACTGGTGACCTGTACAGGGTGTCCCCTGCCTTCACTCTAAGTCGGCTGGGATAGACTCCAGCCCCCCTGCGACCCGAGTGAGGATTAAGCGGTGTATAGATAAAGGATGGATGGATGAACGGATGGATGGATCATCATTTATCCTATTAGTTATTTGTGTGAAATGTTGTCATATTCTGTGGTTGAATTCTTGACTTACAGTCAGAAACATGTTTTGTGAGAACACAGTGACCTTTGATCAACAAATGTTTATCAGTTCAACGTCATCATGAAGTGAACGCTTGTGCCAAATTTGGGCATGTATTGTGTTCACAAAAACAGATGGATGGATAAACAGCTGGGAAACAGAATGCCTTCAGCCACTAATCACAGGCATAGAGGCATTAAAGAATATGTAGTGGTGGATTAAATTCCTATATATCCTAAAAGTGGGTCCAGTGAGTTTTGATACATGATATTACTACATAGTTCATACAGATGCATCAACCTGGGAGTAGCATTTGAATTTTGTTGATGCTTAGTCGAAGTACAGTCAGCTAGTTTAGTCCAGTCATAAATAGAAGAGCTACAGGAACGAGTGACATAGATTTTTACACAACTGTCAACTTTAAAGCTTGTGTTAATCCATGTGGTGATTAAGAACACAACACTTATAAAATCCCTTTAAATAACTTGGAAAAACTAGTTGAAACATCTTAACTGGTATTTAATTAGTAATTAAAAACTCGTGTCTATGCTCCCAGTTACTAAACAAGCAGTAATTACAAATACCTTTGATTACAGAGGAAATGCTGATTTCCTTAATTCAGCTTGTTGGTTGAACATAATTACATTAGACATGGTCTTAGCTCAAACAGGATGCAAATTGTTATGTTAATTTTTTGATTGAGTTTAAACATGTGTGAGGGGGTCACAAGATAGGAATTACTGTTTAATCTCTAAGGATGTGGTGAAAATATTAACTCATCCTGTTTGTGATTTAACAGGATGAGATATGTGTGCAGTAACACAATAAGTACAATTGTGGCTTAATTAGCAAGTATCATGAAATGGACATAAAGCAAAAAGGAATTTTGGACAGCTACTTCCACCGCTTAATTAAACGCCAGATGGCAAGATAAAATAACTCTAATTTACAGATGTAGATAAAAAGTTTAAGTTGCAAACCCTGTTATTATGGGTTAAGTTGACACCATAATGTTGGCAATTGCACAAACTTAATATTGTGTGTAATTTAAAATCATTCAAATTAAGGTAACTGGTTTGATTTTTCTTCTTCAACTTGTGGTCCCCTCATCTAGCTTCCCAACAACGGAGGTTTTTTTCTTTAAAACTTAAAAATGTTTGTTCATAATAACCGTAATTAGCTACATAACACTTTGAAAGTCCTTTTAAATAATAAACTTCATTTTTTAAAATCATCTACTAAAAAGCTTATGCTACCAATCATTAAAGACGTGGTAATTAGGAATACTTTTGATTTAATAAAGGCTAATTCTCCCCCAACAACATCTACTCTGTTGGTTGAACATAGTTTTATTAGAAGTTGTCTTAATTCAAAAGAGTGATGCAAACTGTTGCCTTAACATCATGGTTGAGCTCAAAATAAATAAAAACCCAAAACTGCCAGTAAGTACAACAGTGGAGCGGCTTTATTCTCTGTGTATGTGTTAATTTTACCTTAAAGGGGATCAGAAAAGGTGACACATATTTACCGTGGCATCCTCTCCAGCGTAGTGGCTGATGACTCGACGCCCTCCTGGATGCCTCTTGGCCCACTGGGTGATGTTGTAAACCTTCCGATCGATGACCAGCCACTGGTCATTCCTGCTGCAGTGGCTCTGCACCTCCTCCCAGGTGTAAACTCCTCCGTCCCTCCCGCTGGCTGGCTCTCCTGGCTCGGTCAGCTGGCCTCCACCTCCCATCCTCAGTGCTGTCTCTGGCCTGGAGCCACCTGCACACTGACGGGCCAGTCAGACACAAAGTTCTCACACCTGGATGTAAGGAAACCGTGTTCAGACAGTCTGTGCAGAGGAAGCAGAGGAAGCAGGTTTTCACCCTGTTGCTCTTTTTACTTTAACCACCCAACTGATTGTAACACAAGTGGAGTAAGACAGAGAGGAGAGCAGCATCTTCACTAATAATTGATGATGAAATTCGACAACCAGCTATTGGAGGTATGGTGGAGCAGGGCGGTGTTTAACCTACTGACACCGAATCTAAATGTCAAGTGCACATTATCTCGCAATTAACGAGGAAACAATCAATATTTAGCGTGTTAGTGCGTTTTGGCGCAGAAGCAGGCTGTCTCAGTCTTTTAAAAAACAAGCACACAATGCAGATCAAGCCACCGTCAGAGCATCCAGAGAAAAAACCGCCATGAATTGAGCAGTAATGGCAGATAGCGGCTGGCAGGCTGTCTGTCCAGCCTACAGGCCACAAACATGAAGATGAAATATTTCACACTTACAGCATCCAGTTTTCACTCCTACTCTCCTCGGGCTTCAGTCACATTAACACACCGGCTCACTTTATTAGCTCCCGTTCCGTTCTGATCCATTCCAAGCAGCAAACATCCCTAAAAGCCATCCTCAGCCTCCCCTCATATGTTCATCGTCTCATTCAGTCCAAACTCCGAGCAGATCATTCGAGGGTGTCTGGGCCAATCGGCGCACAGTATATTCTGGACCACTGGCCAACGTGCCATAGGCTCAACAAGCTGCTCATCTCGATGTGAGGATTCCGTCTGAGCGCACAGACGGAGCGCAAGCAGCTGGAGGACGCAGGTCTTTACGCAGCCAGGAGGGGACGTCTGGAGCGGATCGGGGAGATGTTGAGCTCCGAATATGTGTCGATTTTATCGACTTAAAGTGAGCAGCAGGCTCCTTTCAACTCCAGCTGCGTTGTTGTGGTAACGGTGTGGTTAACACCCACCTCCCTGCAGGGGCGCCCCCAGAAAAATTTACATAAGGGTGTCCAGATGCGAAACCATGGGGGGGAGGGCACACCATAACCAAAAGCTATTACTGAATTTCAGCATGTCTGTGTAGCTGAGTTAGGGAATCACATCCTTAAGCATTTGCTTTTCAAGAACACAATGTTCTGGATGTCATTAAAATAGATAATTCACTGAAAAAAAAAAACCTAGCAGGGCTGGCCTAGTGCATGATCCAAATCTCTGCAAAACCATTTTCAGTGTGACTGGTTTCTGCCTTTATACCTTCATCCTACATCCAGTGAGTCAGACTACTTATTTTACAATTAAGGAAATCTTTAATAAGATGCCTCAACAAAGTGAGAGGCCTCCCCATCATAATTCCCTTCCTAACCGCTTGATATAGTCCGATTTCTTCTCAGGTCTTCTATAACCTCCTAAGACCCAAGCTCTTGTTTGATATGCATTCGTTATTTCTCTTTGCTATTTGATCTGACCAAATAGACCTTCTTGCTGTGAGGCAACGATGCTAACCACCGAGACACCTTGCAGCTCACCCTGGTTTCTGATTTCTGAAAAAAATATGTAAATTGTCATGTAATACAAGCTAACCAGCAATAAAACTATATCATAATTAGCTAAGTGTATGTTAAAATATTAGCATTATGCTACATTAGCTTGCTGTAACACTATCCAGCTCGCTTCAATTCTTGGCTAGTGTAGGCTAAACATTTGTGGTAATTAGTGTTTTTACGTTGTTTTTGTTGAGAATTTAGAATCAATGATTTAAAAAAAAAGAAAAATTTAAAGTATAACTTCTGTCACAGGATCATCCAAAGAATGTAAATGAATTACAATTCCATATCTAAAATAAATAATTGCATAAATAATCTTTACTCTTATACTTAATTCAACACAGGTGCAGCCTATTTGTGACAAATGGCTGCATTTTACAGTTAGTAGCATGGAAATAATCTGAGTCAATTTGTCTCAAGTGGTCGCTGAATAAAGGTATCTGGAAGTCATATCTGTCTTGGTGGCCTCCCTCACTAGGCTCTCTCACTCAGTTTTTGAGTACGGCCTGCTCTAGGCAGATTAATGTATGTGTCATATCCCTTCAGTTTCCTATTGAGAGATTTAACTGTACTTTAGGGGATATTCATGGACTTGGGAATGTTCTTGTATCCGTCCCCTGACTTGTGTCTTTCAAGAACCGTTTAACAGAGTTGCTTGGAGTGTTCTTTTGTCTTCATGGTATATTCAGAAGTACTGATTCACCAGTGACTGGACCTTCCAGATACAGGTGTCTTTGTGGAACAATCCCTGTAGACACATTCACTGCTCTCAGATAATCTCCATTTCACTAATTGTGTGACTTCTAGCACCCGTCGGCAGCTCCTGTGTGGAATTAGTTGAGTCAGTTAAAATGGGATGAAGGCTTATACTATCAAAATAAATTGGCCATGACTCGATCTTGAAAAGAAATTAAACTTCCAAGAGGAGTGAATTCTTTTTATTGGGTCTGAATACAGCTTTGGAAATATTAGACCACCTGTTGTTTCCTTTAGAAAGTCTACACAACAAACGTGAAACTGTATAACTATAAAAACGTCAAAACAGACACTAGAAAGATTTTTTGGACTCATCATTATTTTGTATTAATATTACAAATATAACAAATAATAGAGCAGTGTACCATCCAGTCAACATGTCTCTCTGTTGTCATCGTCATTGTGCTGCAGTACACGCAAGGATAAAGTTTCCATCTTTTATATATTTATTACATGCTCTGTCTTGACACTGACAGAAAAAAAAGATGTTGTAAAACAATAAATCATGAAAATGAGCAGTGGTATGCGGCCAAATGTGAATAAAAGACAAAAATGTGTATGTATTGTGTGTAGGTTTGTTGGCATATGACGGCTAAATATATGCAACAGTGTGCATCTTGTTGTCAACAACGGGGCAAGCAACAAAGCTACAGTGAGCACAGAGCACCTGTTGTCATATGCTGAAACCGTTGGTGGCATTAAACAAGGAGATCGACTACCTCAGTATGATGTGGTATCATGTTGTTACTGCTCAGACTGCACATCAATATATTATGAAACGTGCCTGTTGCAGGTTCCTCCTCCACCAGCAGATGGTGTAGATGTGTTCCTCTAATCAAACACCTTCCTTGTCCTCTCGTAACCCTGAGGATGCAACAGCAGATATGCCTGTCATTACAGTTTCTGGTTGCCTCCATCATCATCCAGAAATACATGCAATGATGCAACACAACCTGAATGCTACATTCCATTATTAATGCTCTGCCCTCGGTATCTGATGAAATACGAGCACGAATGACGACATACAGTATGTTCGAGGTTTCTCGCTTCTCGTTTGTTCACGAGTTTCCCGTGGTGACTGGGTCATGCAGAGCTTCATCTGCATTCACCACGTTCACCTCAGCAGTCACATCCATTCACCGCCCGAGGTCTCTGTCTGTCTGTCTCCTGCTTACAGTCCATTGTGTCATTTCAGGGTCGTTTGAATGCGATGCAGAAATTTGCAAATCAGCTCTTTTAGTCCTCAGCATATCAGACAGGATTATCCTCAAGCAGCGTGCGGCCTGTCTCCCTGTTTGTCCCCTTCTTCTGCCACAGCTCATCAGGCTGACAGAAGCGCTGCACATCTGACCCCAGCTGCTTTTCCAGGCTTTTCTTCAGTATCACAACCAACAAAGCACACTGTCAATCAGAAAACCTGTCGGCCATTGTCAAAGCATTTGATGAATTCAGCGGGAGAAGATTAACTTACATTTAGGTTACTCGAGTACAATCTTCAGGTCTTGATAGTTTGCTTGAGTATATCTGTTCTGAAAGACTCTCTGCTTTCACTGCACTGCATTATGATATCATATTGCCTCCTCTGTGGAATACATTTACAGTATGTGATGTCTGAAAGTTTGTAGTTACTCTGCAGATACATA